TCCAGTAGAGTCTGTGTGACAATGCCGGTCACCTGGCAGAAACCAGACCAGAGGTATCATCCCCACGCGGTTTTAGGGGAGGTATTGAGGCACAAGAGGACGGGCGGCCAAAGTGCTGACCCTGAGCCCCGGACTGTGAAGTCCTGAAGGTGATCCTGAAGGTGACATGCTGAAGCCAGTCCTTTGTTTTACAAAGTTCCCCTTCTGACTGCGTATAGGTGTGGTCTTACCTTGACTTAATGGTCTTAGCTTTTGTGATGGTATATAGGTGTGGTCTTAACTTGACCTTGTGGTCTTAGTTTTTACAGTACTATTGTCTATCTTTCTCATGCCTGCCTGTGCCTGAAATCACTCTTGAGGTGTGCCCTTGAAACTAGTATATAAACACCTAGAGTTAGAAATAAAATTGCAGCAGCATTGGCAAACTTCACCTCGGTGTTGAGTGCTTTTGTCTGACTGTCATCGCCGAACCTGCTCCCACCTTTCAGAGAACCTGTATCTCCTCGTGAAATCCCGTGTTTGCTGCCCTACGGTCGGTAGCAAGTGGCGCTAAGGGACTGTTGGAGAAGATGCAGAGATTGACTCAGAAGCAGCCTTTTTCATCCTCACTCTTCTGTGTGTGTGTGTGTGTGTGTGTGTGTGTGTGTGTGTGTGCGTGTTTTGCCAATATGCTTTGAAAAAGTCATCTCTGCAGAAATATTACTTTAAATTGAATAGCAATTAATCTCCAGTGCCTGGCTCACTCTGAAGCTACTTACTGAATGCCAGCAACGCACAAGCCATGTGACTGAGGAAGGCCTGCCCCTTGCCTGCAGGAATCCATAGCCAGCAAGAGATTCACGCAGAGGAAGACTGCACTTCACTTTCACAGACGGCAAGCGCACACCCTATTTAGTCCAGATGGGTCCTGATGGAGCAGATGTAGAAACGCACAAGGCAATGATAAAGCATTTTCTAATCTCTGTGGTACATAACATTACACACAAATACATACACACACACACACACACACATGCATGCACGCGCCATGATCCCGGCCCTGTTCTGTGGGGGTGAGGTGTTCCAGGGCTGGCTTGTTAGAAAGGTAGTTAGGAAGCTTAGGGAGCTCCACACGGTCCCAGGGTCACACCACCTCACCAACCTCTGCAGGGGCCTTTAATGCCCAGCTGATGCCACCACACAAAAGACGTGTTCATGAAATTAAACAGAAGAGAATGCGTTTTCAGTCACTCATAAAGAGATGGGTCCTATCACATGGCGCTGGGGGGGGTGCGTGGAGTTTTTGGGAAATGCTGACTCCCAGGCCTTGCCTCACCCTCCTGGGTCTTTGGCTCTGGAACTCAGGGCCTTGTTCCTGCCAGGCAGACGCTGTACCACTGAGCTATATCTCTGGCCCGGGAATCTGTGTTCTGACACCTTTCAGGTGGCTCTCAGGTGCACTAAGGTTGGGAACTGCTGTTCCAGGCGACGCTTGGGGAGGGGGTTCATCGTGCGTGACCATGCCCATGACCCTCTGAGAACTCTCGCCATGCAGGTTAAGCTCACAGTCCCCTAAATTTCCCACAGACCTCGAATCACACCCTGCTTGATTTTCATTCAGAAACCCCACAGTGAATCAGGAAATCCCCCTATTTTACCCTTATTTAGGGGCAGGCTTAAAACTCACTAACTCAAAACCACTGTGTTTAATGGGGTGGGAGGGTTGAGCTTTAATAAGTACTCTCTAATGTGTGGGAAGTATATATATTCATTAAAAGTACACACCCCTGAACACAATGAATAGACTCTACCCAGAGAAGAAAAACCAAAGGAAGAGCCCTTCGTGTCCAATAATCAGTGATGTATACTCCCCAACTCCTATCCAAAAATAAAATAAAACAAAACCCCACAAGCAGGTCTGGTGGTGCAGACTTGTAATCCCAGCATTCTGGGAGGCGGAGGCAGGAAGATCACAAATTAAAGGCCAGAGTGGGCTACACAGTAAGTTAGAGGCCAGCCCCTATCTCAAAGACCCAATGTATTCCTACGCAACACCAAACGCCGCAGCTATTCTCTTCAAATTAGGGGGTGCGGTGTCTCCCATCTCATCTTTAAGCACCTGTTAAGTTTTTAAACGCAAATGTCTTGCTCTCTGTACTGCCCGCGCTGCAGGGTGACCACTGGGAGCCCTGTGAGGGGGACACACCTTCTGTCTTCCAAAGACATCCGCTCAGCCCCACAGGCTGCACGGCTCCAGAAAGGCTCTTATGATGCTTATTTTCTTTCGTTTATCTTTGGATATTTTGTTTATCTTTAGAAATTTACCCAATTATATAATGAGCAAATGCTATTTTCTTCTGCGAAACAAATGTTGAACTTAGACTTCTAGTCATAGTTTAAATATTACCTCCATCGTCCTGAGCCATGTAAGTTAATTTAATAATGTCTGTTTTTTGTTCATTTTCCATTTAGCAGCCTCTTCAAATCAGTGGTTTGCAGTGAACTCGTCAACAAAAGTTTAAAGTACTTTCTAGGCCCATGGCTTATCCTACTAAGACGTACAGTACATTTGTAGCCATAAATGCAAAATTATACACTTGTAACACTGACATTATTTTACATTATTATTTGCATTATTTATCTTAGGACTAAAAGGTACTTTCTGGTTTTCTTTTTGCTCATCCCTTTTACTTTTGGAAAGCCTGCAAACATCACCATTGTCTTTCTCACCAAGATTAACACTAGCTTTCCCTGGGCTCTGGGCTCTGCACCAGCCCAATCACTAATGGATCTTGGTGGCCATCGCTGGACGTGCCTCTCTCTCTGTCTGTAGAACCAGGAGCTCCAAGCTGTGGGCCCAGCCACCGCACCCTGGGGGCCTGTATTAGGACAATGCCCGCTAGTATGTATCTGTAAACCATAATATTCATCCACAGACTTCTTGGCAATGGACTCCTTGCTATGTAGCATCGACTTGGTTAAAATCAGGCTAAGGATTCTGACTAAGTACAAGTGCATGTGAACAGAGGCGCAGCCCGGAAGGCTCGTGTTGTTTTGGGGAGGCTGCAGGAGGCTCCTTCCTTGTGACCATCACACTGGGGGTGCACAGGCCTGCGGAAATGCAACCTCTCTCCGTGTCTACTGCTCACAGCTCATGGTGAACCCCATGCTTTCGTGATGAATGCATCTAAAGAAGTCCGCAGACTTTCCCGCGTGCCAAGTAGTGAATATTTTACTACACTTTGAGCCGTGGCTGCTGTCTTTGTCACCACTCTAGGGAAACGTGGCCACAGGCACTAGGTAAATAAATGCCCACTGCCGCTTTGTCCCGTAAGACCAGCGGGGCTGGGTTGGGCAGAGTCTTATGCGACCCCCTGACCTAAGCCACATGTGGTTCATAGGCAGAAAAGAGGAAACAGCCTCCTCACACACTCCACTCTTAAATAATAAATGTTACACAATCCTTATATGTCATGATTTCAAAAGCCTCCTTTGTTGTTTATTTTTATCCTTTGATTCCACATTCCCGAAAGTCTAGGAGACACGAACGTACAGTGACAGAATGCAGACTGGCGAGGCCAAGGGCCGGAACGGGTGGGATGATCACCTGCAGGAGGAGACCACTTCCTCCTCCTCCCCCTGCTCCTCCTCACCCTCCTTCATCTTCCTTCTAATACTGGGGATTGAACCCTGGGCCCTTCCACTGAGCCATGAGTCCCCAGCCCCTTTCATTTTTTAAATTTTGAGACGGTCTCTCACTAAGAGGCTAATTTTCCCAGGCTGAGCTTTTAATCATATTGCCTCAGCCTCCTACAGTGCTGGACTCACAGGTGCGGCACCACGCCCAGCCCTCCCTTCCTGTCTTTTTTTCTTTTCTTCTTTTAACTTTCCTTTTCATTTCCCCCTTTATTTCTGCCTTTTCTCCCTCCTCCTTTCCTTCCTTGTTTTTAAAATATCTTATTAGTTTATATTTGTGATACATAATGAATACATTCTCTGCAGATAGACAGATACCCCCAAAATGTATACACAGTTTAGAAAAAGAAAACTAGTACAATGTCTTTTTCAACAGACGGTGTTATCCTCTGTCTTAGTTACTCTTCTCTCATTGCTGAGACACAATATCCAACACCCAACGCTAAAGTAGTAAAGATTTATTTGCTCACAGTTTGTAGAGGTTTTAGTCTATAACTGGCGGGCTCCAGGGCAGCTGGCCTGGCAAAGGGGCATCAGTTCATGGTGGCAGAAGACAGCAAAAACTACCAGCTTCTTTTCTAAACAGTGTCTTTCTGCCCCTTTTATCCCATCCAAGCTGCTCGGGGCGGCAGCACTCGCACCCCGAGTCCTAGTGCCCTTGGTCCTAGCACTGCACCGTGAATCAATCCCCGCGTCACATCTAGATCCAGCCACCTCTGAGAAAGCTCCAGCTATGACTTCCTGAGGCCGTGGGGGCGTCCAGACACAGCCGTGACACCCTTGTATGGGGACCCTAGAGGACACAGGGTATGGAAGAAAACCCACTATGAGTGCTGGCCCTCAGAGGAGAAACTGAAAACACACGTGCAGCAACCTCCCGAGGAGAGCTCTCCAAGCGGCCATTCACCGTGCTAAGAAGCGTCCTCTAGCCCGTGGCCACCACTCTGAGCTCTCCCGCAAATGCAGAGGCTGAAGGAAACTTGTATTAGTCTGGCGATGTCTCCGTACATCCAGGATCCAAGTATTCACACCCGCTTTCCTCTCCCTGAGTGTGTACATTTTGGTGGAATATATCTCCATCGACATCTGAGTGTCTACATCACATCGGATCCTGCTACTCCCCCTTACCCCCATCCCATGTGAGTGAATTCAAGGAAACCACACATTTGAAGGACCATGAAAACGCCTTCCAGAACAGTCTTCAGTGAAATTCGGTACCTTTCCCCATAATTTCTGCCAGTGCTTTTCACTGCCACCTCAAAACAGCACTACCAGAGACCGCAAGCGGGCAGCCGTGGGGCTGGAGCTAGGGGACAGGGCGGTACCTGGCAAGGAAGTCGCAGAAGGAGAGGCGCACCGGGAACCCGTGGCGGAAGACCTTCACCAGCTCCAGCACGCCCAGGTACTGCAGCTGCGCGGATACATAGACGTGGTCGAAGGCGTCGGGCAGCTGCGCGCTGTTGGGCTTGATGCAGTGCACGAAGTGGGGCGCGCCCCGCCGCAGCCTGCAGGTGAGCTCTGCCAGGGACCTCTGCGGGGAGACAAGCGGCTCCAGCTGTGTGCTCGCGCGCATGTGGTGTGGACCTCCCCGCCCATGCTGGCTGTTGAAGAGGGGCAGGATTCTATGTAAAGCACCCCTCAGTGGTGCGTGGTAACACACACAGAGCACAGTCCGGGCCCTCCTCGATGGGCTGTGAGACTGAGGGCTGCTCACCCTGAGCTGAGTTGCGGTGGTCCCCGGACAGCCTCGATCCAGTCTTTGAAGAAAGCTAGAAGTTCCTTTCTTTTTCAAGATCTGTAATGGCGGGGAGGGGGAAGAACCTATTTTACTAAATTCCAGTTTAGAAGGAAGACAGCAACTGAAGCCTGAATCTCCAGAAATGACAGTGTGGTTCAGTGCACAGACTTGATTTTTTTCACAAGTCTGGCTGCAAACCGAGTTGGATGAGAACAGAGTAAAAATCAGTGGTTAGATTTGCATTTGACCTTCGGGGGAAATGTGACTTGGTTCTGGTCCAGTTCAGTTTGTGACCAGATCACGGAGAGAATCATATTCAGGGACAGAGGTGCAAGCAAACCCATGGGACAGACTGTAAAAATCAGGACCAAACACTTCTCTGAAACTTGGCAGTTGGCTGAGGCAATGGGAAAACCCCTGAAGTGCCTGGTGCTGGGAGACTCTCAAGTATGGGCTGCCTGTGACAAGACCGGCATGGTCCGCACGCAGCATAACTCGGGAACAGTACAGACCTGACCCCTGGCCCAGCGAGGTCACTGGGGCTCCTGGTGACAGTGCCCCTGTTTACACTCATCACGCAATGTCCCTACTTGGACGAAAGGGTCCTGCTTCATGTGACAAAGATCTGATACCTTTCCATGTCAGATATTGACATTTCTGATAGCTTGTTCCCGCATTACAGTGAGTACTGTGGGTTTGATGGTTTCCTACCCTTTTGTCTCCTCCTTTATTTTTCTGCTCCTTTTTATAACTACTCAAATGGCTTGGTAAGTTACTTGTCTGTGAAAAATGACAATAGACTGTTTTTTTTTTTTCAATGAGTATCCACAGCTCTTAAAAGAAAACAGCTATAGGTACCAAAGATTAAATGGTAATGGAGATTTTAAACATTAGCGGAAGTGAGGCAGATGGTGCAGATGAAAAGGGCAGCGGTAATTCATAAAATTCCGCTGGGGTTCCCAGAAGGTACAGCCATTCACGTGCTGTTAGCGTGGACCGAATGGCGCAGAATTAAGCTAAATGATCTACTGATCTAAAACCATTTCTCTTAAAACAGAAAGATATGAGAAACAATTCCAATTGAGCATCTTATCAATTCGGTGCCACTGCTACCATAATCGGTCCTTTCCATCCACGGAGAGGAACTGTCACACTGAAGCGAGTAATTGCCCGTGAGCAGAGGCTGTGGAATGAGGCCAGGGCCGGCAGGAGCCGCTTTCTGCACACACAGCCCCATCAACCCCACAGGATGGGCAAAAGTCTACTTTCTGTGCCTCAGGGGGATGTGCAGGGATGAGGGCTGTGTGAGAAGAAATAAGGGAATGAGGGATGGCACACTTAGGGGAGAATCATCATAAATAAACCTCCACCCTTGAAACTGAATGCTCCATTTCCCTCTCTGAGGGGAGGGAGGAATGACTGTGAATTATCTCCACCTTCTGCAGTCCTTTAGGGAAATGACTAATGGCATTCAGGCCTCATAATGCTCCATAATTGAGGTTAAAAATCACAGTTTAGAGGTGTGCTGAGATTTCCTGCTCTTGATCTGCAGGATGATTGGGAAAGGAAGTCCAGGAAGTGCATGAGAGCCCCAGGGAGACAGCACATCCAGCAGCGAGAACCCTGGGTCCTTTGGTAAAAATCTCCCTTCTCTGCACAGGGAGGTGGTTGTCTGGTGGCCACCCACCTCAAGAACAAGCACATCCAGGACCCTCTAACTCCAAGACCTGCCGGGCCTTTGCCCACACACTCACACACTCACACCTCTGCCACTTTCTAAAACAGAGCTAATTTTAATTATGCTTTTATTTTAATTGAAAGGCTAAGATATATTCCAGCAACTGCAATTCTAAATTGATTGTCCTGAACACCTCCCAGTTCTAATTCTATAGGTTCGGTTGACATAAGCAAAACAAAAACAAAAAACAAACAAACAAACACACAAAAAAACAAAAACAAAAACTTGAATGCAATCTGCAGTCTGGCACTGGATTCTCAAGAAACCTGAAGACTTCAAGTATATTTCTCTATCGGTTTGAAGCAGCTCTTTCCAGTATTTTTAGTTCTCTTTTAGAAGTGTATTGGTTAGATTATGTGTGTGTTCAAACTTAGGTGGGATAAATATGCTAAAAAGATTAGTACAACATGAAAATTAGCACGAGGTCTACAAAGACACAGTGAAAACATCAAGGCACCTGAAAAATAGGCTCTGTCTATCAAAAAACTAACAATTTATTGAGCAGAAACCCAAACCTCAGACATGATTAATATCACCAGGCTTAGGCATCTAATGTCCTCTAAGCCTTTGGTCCCGAAGTTTCTCTCCATTCATCAAGAAGACAGTCACCAAGATGCAACACAGACGGGATGTCACACAGAGCCGGACTGAGCACAAAGCTGGCACTGTCTGCTGCATCCCCTCTGAAGAGTTCCTCTCCTGTCCCCTCTGCTGGACCCCGAAGAGGGGAGGACATCTCTTTAATTCTTTTAGAATATTATTTCAGTTAGTATTCAAAATTGCACTTTAAAAAGAAAAACAAAGTATACGAGCAAACAAACAGAGGGGAAGAAGAGCATCACCAAAGCACCTACCTTACTCAGCTCTGTGTAATTCTTGTTTTCCCGGGTGACTGGCAAAGCTGCTGCTTTCTTGCTGAGCAAGGCCGATTTATGTCCTCGAAATTTACAGGAAGGAGAGGAAGAGATCAGAGATCCCGTCTGTGACAGTTTAGACTGGAACAAATGATTGACCACGACGTTGTCACTAGCTAGGAAAGAAGAGATGAATGTCACACGCGGCACGAACACCATTATGTACTTGAATATTAAATGCACTCCTCTTAGAAGTGCTTCAGCCCCTAAACAGCCCCTGGACAGAAGATGTAATTGGCACTGCAGCCAGCAGCGGGTTCCTTCCCGCGAGCCTATTTATTTCCTCCACTCTTCACACAGCTTGACAGAGTCTGACCTTCACTTGCCCTTGGCCAGCAGTCCTGACCTCAGGTTCTCCCCTGAGCTCTGGCCTTTGGTCCCCTGGCAGGAGGCACTGGATCTTCCTGCTCAGACATAACAGGCTTTTGTGCACTGGCTCAGTCGTGAAGACGTAAGGTTTTTGTTGGCAACTTCTCGTTCCAGGAAATCACCACCCAAGACCGCAATCTTCAGAATCCAGCCTGTTTCAGAGTGGTGAGCACTCGGGCGGCCCTGCCACTCTGGCTGCTCTAGGTGCTAGGACAAAGAGGGGAGAAACTGTCCCTTTTATGACCCAGGCAAGCCACACAGGTAAAGCAAGCTTTCAGATACTAGGTTATGTAAATCTATCGATTCTGGGCTGACCACTTTCCTGACCTCTTAGGGTGAAACCAGGAATGGCTGAATGGATCCTGGATTACAAATTTGAGAAGCGCAGTGAAAACAAATCTAGGGACAGTGTACAAAACAACTGGCCTTTAATTTTAAAAAAAATTGGTGTAATGAAAACCAAAGAAAAGCTGAGGAACTGTACAAAATTAAAGAAATTCATAAGGAAATGGAAACTGCAATAAATGACCGACTTGGTGGAAACCACTGTAAAAGTCCTCTGCACTAATTTATAACTACTTTTACATTTGAAGCCACTCTGAAATAAACAGCTAAACAACAAGCATATCACACAGCCCATTTAAATGAACACAGTTAAATACTAATCCCATTATCTCGAATAAGTTGGTATATAAATGAGCTCCCAGGTACGTATTGCAATGTATTATTCTTCTGAGGGAATGAAACCAAAAGCTCTAGACAGACATAAATCGGGACTGAAATGTACAGCTGGCCCGGCTCCATGCCTTCTGTGAGGCACAAGTCACGCTGCATGCAGAGGGAGCTGGACACGGAGCGGCCACATCAGGATGGACAGCGGGGAGCAGGGCCCCTGCAGCATGGAAAGGGGAAGCCTGCATCCTTTTGCCTGGACCCTGGCTGGGGAGTCCTGGTGAAGGGGCAGTGTCAGCCTTTCCCGTCCCGCGGTGTCGCACTGCAGTGGGCGGTGTCCCTTACTGACACCTTCGGGCACCACACAGGGAACCTTGCCACCGTGCCATGGGATGTGCTAACTTCGGTGTCCACAGGTTACAACCAAGCAGGACAGCAGGCCCTAAATTCCCCTGTTCTCGTGGGCGGATGTGTATCCTACACTTGGGCTCTTTCTCTTCTTTCCAGGTCAAGTCCTCTTTACTCTCAGGCCCAAATGGGTGCACTGCCTGCAGGTCCTGTACCTCAGACACCTGACATCCCCGGGCAGCAAGTCTCCTGGACACAGTCCTGCTGGAGGGACCCAGCACGTCCCTGCGTCCTCCTCAGCCCTGAGCTTCTGGGAGATCAGGAGCCCGAATTGCAAAACATAAGCCAAGTGCTTAGAAACAGATGTTCTTATTATTTATCAGTGCCACTGCTTGTGGTAACTTTCTGGGGCATCAGAATAGACCACAGATGCACAAGACACCATCATGACCCAGCATGTTTTGCCTGAAGAGTAGAATGGAGCCGGAGCTCCAGCCCATGGGCTGCGACAGCTGTGGTATGTGACTGTGAAGGAGGCTACCCTAGAACACAGCTGTGTCCACTCGTGTTAGACAGAGACGGTTTCACATTATAACAGCAGAGGGATTCCTTGTAAATAGGACAAAGGCTAAAGCATTATTCTCTGCCCTCTAGGAGCAAATTTTTGTCACCACCTGTATAAACACATAAAGGGCAAGAGGCCCTGAGTTCAAATCTCCAGCACTGCAAAACAAAGAAACAAATGAACAACAACAAAAACCCCAGCAAAAATAAATACATATAAAAGCACATTGTAGGTCATGTTGTTTTGTTTAGAATAAAACAATAATCAGGTGTGTTTTCTCCTGTTTTCCAGTTAGTCTAAATGCACACAAAAATTCGCTTTCAAGTTGAGGCACTCTCATAAGCAGGGTCACAATGCCCTGGTCCTCATATGCTCATTCTGAATACACTGCTGCACATACTCGAAATACAAACCTAAAGAAGTGCCCATGCTCGATCTTCATAAAAGATAAGTCTCAAAAAGAGGGTGCGTGAAAGACCCAAAGTGAAAGACCCACAAACTGGGAGGGAGATATTTTTCCAATGCCAATAAATAGGAGCCATTATCTGAGCTCTTTATTTTTTCACACCGACCCCCATGCACACTGTCCTGGTCTCAGTTTCGAGGAGTCACGAGCACTGAGACTTCTGCGGGGCAAGCAGCGCATGCCTGTGAATAGCCATGCAGAGCCACGAGCTGCGGTCCGAGGCCAGAGCGTTTGTCTCAGCTCAGAGGAGCCGTGGCTCCACTTCCGGCTACGGTGCTCCTGCTTCTGGCCAAGGAGAAAGGGCCCGGTGCACCTGGACCAGCGTGCAGCACCAAAGGCTACATTCTCTGTTCCTCACAGAGCTTGCTGTGACCTGTGGCTGCAGAGCTGCTATTAACAAAATAATTGCTGCAAGAGGCAGAATTTGATGTGTGTGTACATACATTTATAGTGTACAGTTTCACACACAGTAGAGAGTTATAGTCTCTCTGTATATAAGGTATTATTCCCCACTAAGTAGTAGCTGTGAAATCTATACACATATGTAAGTATGCACACATATACATTCATTTTAGTGGGCATTAATGCTTTATAACAAAAGTGCAGAAGAATAAAATACTGTCCCTAGCTGTGCACCAGAATCATCTTAAGTAATGAAATTCACCCTTCTGTGGCCTAAATAACTTTAGAAACCATATTCATCTTCATTAGTCTTCAGAGAAAAGCTTTTTTATATTCATACCACTAAAGTAGTAAAGGTGTTTTACATTCCTATCTGCTAAAAGCTTAGTTAAATTATGGCTTCTTCTGGACTCCAAATTAAATTGTAATGAATGTATGGTGTGGCAAGACCCATTCTCTATTATTCTGGGCATCAGAATGTAAAAGATATTTCAATTATTCTTCAGCTGGAGGCATATTTTATAGGAAAATATTCAGAGGTAGAGAAATAAAAATGGATGGCATTTAAACCAGGATAGGGGGGAAAAGTCAACTTACTTTTCATTACAAATAGAAGATTCTGTGAAAGGGAGTCTTTATTTTTTTCAATTGCTCCAGCAATTTCATACATTACCTATAATAAGAGAAAACAGCATGATTACTAAGGATGAATCAGCACTGTGAAGACACATCCCTCACAGAGTACCTCATGTCCGCTGAGATTTCAGTGACTCATGCAGTGGGGTGGGTGCTGGAGTCCCGGCCCCTCAGTGAGCTCGAGTTCTGCCCCAGACAAGGGCTCCTTCTTGGTCTATTTCCTGCCCTGCTCGAAAGAACAGGTAGTGGTGGCTCAAGGTGCACAGAGACCCCTTTATCTTGTGGTCCCCAACTCACTCAGGAAACCACAGACCCTTGGGTGCAAAGTGGGAACTCCCATGGAGAACCCAGGGGGTCTGAATATGAGGGTCCACGCAGGTCCATGGACAGCCAGTTGACCAAAGTCTTTGGCACGAAGACATGGGAAACAGCGAAACTGGATCACCCAGGGCACAGTACACTTGAGCACACTCACTCCTGAAGTGACTCCACTTTGTGGCGGGTGTGCTGTGTGGGCGGGGACGGGAACTCTGGGGACAGACGGTCCTGGCCTCTCTCTGTCTGCAAAGGTTTTCTGTCCCAACATCCACTCCTTGCAGACATCTTGGGCACCGCACCCCAGGCAGGGTCACAGACGGCTGTCACTAGTCCTCGGTGGGCCAGCTGACCAGTGACACCAACCCCACCACCACCCTGGAGAGGAAGCTAGGAGGGAGCCTGTGGGGTGAGACCTGATCACTGGGTGACCAGAGGGCTGGGAGGGTACAGAAGAGGGACCGGGCAGACAGGTGAGCATCACAGGACAGCGCACCTTCCCTAGCTGGGCTTCAACACCAACAGCTCCCCCAGAACTAGGGAAGCATTCTCCACAAGGGCGAGCCTACCCTCCGGGGCCTTTGCAGGGTCTGGAGACGCTCTTGCATGACCCTGGGGGACTGTGGACAGAGCTGTCTCAGAACACCCCTCAGCACCCCACACAGCGCTGCTGTGGGGAATTATTCAGCTCCAAACGTCACAGTGTTGGGAGGAGAAGGCTCTCTGTGCCTCCATGTCAGGGACCACAGTGCCAGGGACACCTGCAGGACAGGCCAACACTCCTTCATGAGCCTCTCTGGTCAGCTTTTTAATGTCCCAGAGTGTCATTCTTAGCTGATAAAATGGGCGTAAGATGAGAGCCCTGTTTGGTGTGATGTCACACACACGAAAGCTCTCTGCAGACAGAAGGAAAACTGCATGTCAGGTGTTCCACGTGGGGTCCCACAGTCCATTCCACTCCTACCCGCCACGGGCTTTGGGGTCAGCCCCGCCACCTCACTTCTGGAAAATCAAGAGGAGGTGAGCAGAGCTCTGCTGACTGCTTTGTCGTCTGTCAGGGGTAACCGTCCACCCCAGCGAGGACCAGGTCTTAGTCTTTGGTGTCGCTCCTCAAACGGCCTCTTAACACACTATGGAGAGAGCCGGCTGCCAAAGACCTTGTCCAATGGCTCTGACCACTTCCGCCCAGGAGTCCCCACGGCGGTGGTGCAGACGCCCAGAGGGGCCCTAACTCAGGACACCCCAGCTCCGTTCCCGTGGGGTCTCTTCCTCTCTGCTCCTCTCAGCTCCTTGGGATCTCTGAGATCATCGCCCCATCCTGACCCTTCAGGCCCCAGCAGCACCTGAGCTGCCTGGCGTGCGAGCATCCCGGGGCACCGACACGCCCCGTCAGAGCCCAGCAGGCAGGCTGGCATCTGCTGCCAGTTCCGCTGAGGTCCTGTGCCTGGCTGTCAAGCCTTCCCCACACGCCTCCCATGACGCTGCGCTGTAACACCCCAGGGCTGGGAAATGTGTCCCCTTGTAAGCTTCCAGCCTCAGAGCTGCTTGTTCTTAGACAAACATATGTCTTACTTTAAGAAAAAAACAAGAGTTTCACCTGAAAACTTGAGTCCTTCCTTCTCAGACCACTCTGGCTGTTCACTAATGCACATTCCCCCGGTAGGAATCTGGGTGCCACCCAGGGGAGTCCCCACTCACCTCTCCCATTCCCACCTGGCCTGTTCTCCACCTGAACACTGGTAAAAACCACCTAGGATTATTTTGGTGAAACAGATGAGGCATCTTGTTGTTTTATGGCCAGACACAGCACGCCGTGTATTTTTTACCTTGAAATGATGCTATGGGTCCCTCCTTATCACAACAGCGCAGGCTCTGGCAATCTCTAATGCGTCTTTACCTAACTAGAGGCAAAGCTGAGGGTCTCCCACTCCAGCTGAAGTTCAAATACACCTGGTGGAGACTTCAACTGCTAAACTGCCTAGAAACATATTTAAGGCACACAGACAAATGCAAACATTTAGCGAGGGCAGTTTGGTGTTTGTAGGATGCCTGCTTTAGCAAATTTATTTTATTGCTGGGGTATTGTCCTATGAACGAACCATGAGGCAGGTGAGCTTGAGGACCAGTGACACCAGGTACACTGTGCTGAGAGCCCTTCGTGTGCCATACTACGTTCTCTCGGGCCCACTAACTCGGAGCCTCCGATCTGCTCGTAAGATATGGATGGCAGCACGTGACTGACAGCCCAGGCAAACACGAGGCTGTACCCAAGTAGGCCACTGCCATTATTAACAGAGTAATGCAAATGATGGGGAGTGTATTGTACAAGGTTGGCATCAGTAGATTCCTAACATGCAGCTTCCAATACAATTTTTGTTCCAAATCTGAAATTGCCAATTTTTTCCAGTACATCTGACAGGAAAAATGAGCCACAAGCCCCTTCTCTGCACCGCAGGACACAGCAGCACACCATCATCGCAGTGGTCCTGGTTTCTTGGCCCTTTCAGTGGACAGAGTTGAGAAATATTCATACACCTGCACGCACACACCGGTGTACAACCCTGCCATGCATACTTTCATTGTTTTCTTAAAGATAAAACACAAATGGGTTCCAAATTTGACCTTTTAACCATGGTAGCTTCCTCAAGCAGGCAGTATGCTACTGGCCTTGCTGAATGAAGGCCATTTAAAAACCCAAACAAATGATGCCAAGTCACCCCTGGGAACACATATGTCAGTAACACATTCTTATCACCTTTACGTATTTCAAATTAGACTTTCAATCTGGAGATCACTTTAGATTCACCTGAAGCTGCAAGAAACTATACAGAGAGACCATGTGTTACCTGAACGACTCCCTTCAATGCCAACATCTTACAAAATAATCACAGCGAGGATACTGACCAGTGTGGGAAAAATCAAGAATTATTAACATCAGCAGATGGACCCTGCTTGCTGCCCATCTGGGGACGCATCCATGCTTCCCAAAACTGTTGAGCCTGTTTGCCTGGCTCTGTTTCTGGGTCCTCCCTTCTGCATTCGCCTCTGACCTACTGCTCTACACAGACTTGACGGCTGTAACCCTGCAACACGAGGTGAAGTCCGCAGCCTAATTCCTTCCGCCATATCCCTTATCAGAACCTGTCTGGCCATTTTAGCATCTTTTCCTACCGCATATGTTTTAGAACAGTACTGCCGATCCTTTACACATATAACACATCTTGCTGTGATTTTGATAAGCAGGATTGCCTTAAATCTGTATGTCATTTTGGGGAGCAGAGACTATTGCTGTGATTATTACTAAGTCAGTGATTCGCTGTGTTGTCTCCTCGTCCATAAACATTCCATAGTGCTCCTTCTCTGAGGTATCTTTCATCAGAATGCTGTGGTTTTCAGCACACACCTTCTCTACATGTCTTGTTAGGTTTACACCTAAGTACTGCATCATTTATGTGCGACTGCAAATGTTACTGTATTTTAAGTTTCAGTGTCCTTTGCTAATATGCAGAAATGCAGTGGATTTATGTTCACTTTGTATCTTGTGACTGCTGAATTCACTGATCACTTCTGCAAGTTTCTCTCTTTTTGGTAGGTTCCTTGGGGTCTTGCAAATGGACATTTATGCTCCATATAGACAGGCGCAGGTGCATTCTTCCCTTTCCAGTCTGTCTGCCTCTCCTTTCCTCTCTCGCCTCAGTATGCTGGTGGGAACTCTGCCACTGTGCTGGCTGAGGGTGGAGCAGACACCGTACTTTACTTTTGACCACAGGAATTAAACACTCAGCTTTCAACACTAAACCCAGTGTTGCCGGTAGGACCACCATAGATGTCCTTCATCAGGTCGAGACTGTCTAGTTCTTAGAGGTTTTGTACAAGTGGATATGAAGTATTTTTTATCAAGTGCTTTTCCTGCATCAATGAATAGAATGATGTGGATTTTCTTCTTTAGGGTGTTAATACTGACAGATTACCTTGACTGACTTTGAAATACTGAGTCGGCTTTGCTCTCTGGAAAAAACTCCAATTGGCCCGAGCGGGTAGCTCTTTTCATAGATTGCTGAATTCTCCAGATTCATGAGGGATTTTCATTCTTGGTTCTTTTGAATGCATGTGTGTGAGTGTGTGTGTGTGTGTGTGTGTGTGTGTGTTACAGATTTTGGTTTTGCTATCAATAATCCTAACTTTATTTAACAAGTTAAGCAGTGCTCTCACTTCTGTTTTCTGGATAAGACCGTGTCAAGTTGCCATTAATTTTCCTCAAGACATTTGGTAGAATCCATCAGTGAAACCATCTGCAATAGGGAGCTTCACTTTGTGGAGCTTTTAAATTACAAACTCACTTCCCCTGACAGGTCCGTTTAAACTACACGTTGGGTGAACTGGAGGAGCTTGTGTTTTTTTGAGGAACTGGTCCATTTCATCTAAATATTTGGGCTCGTATGAATTACTAGTAGTGTTCTCTGGGTCTTGCTGACGTCTATAAATCCACTTCCCATTTTAGTTCCAATATTGGTACTTAGGTCTTTTCTCTTTTGATCCCGTCAGTTTTACCAGAGGTTTATCATTTTTATTGATATTTTCAAAGAGCCGGGTCTTTGCTTCATTTATGTCTTCCTTTTTCCTTCAATTCCATTGATTTCTGTTTTTCTCACTGTCTCATACTTGCTGCCCTTGATCTTGTTTCCTGCAGTGGAAGCTTATTCATTTCCAACTTTCTCTGTT